AAATCTTTCATTTTTAATAAGGTACTTTTGTATATCGTCATCCCCCGGTGATATCTATTACATGCGCGCGCCGCGGATTGCCAAAGACTTTTGATAGCAGCCAGGTTTCGGCGCTTGATCACACCATGGAAAATAATACGTGTAGCTGTGGTATCGGTGCTAATCAAATACATCCTCGGTGATATCTATTACATGCCGACGCAGTAGGTGTGAGTTTAAACGCGGAACTTCCCTGACATCATGTACCTAGACAAGAAAGTCGCTGTCAGCAGCCAGGTTTAGGCGCTGGATCTCATGACTCACGCCATGGATGCGCGCAGCTGTGTGTCTGCCTTAATCATTTGTATATCGTCATCCCCCGGTGATATCTATTACATGCACGCGAATTGCCAAAGACTTTTGTCAGCAGCCAGGTTTCGGCGCTTGATCATACCATGGAAAATAATACGTGTAGCTGTGGTATCGGTGCTAATCAAAGACATCCTCGGTGATATCTATTACATGCTGACGCAGTAGGTGCGAGTTTAAACGCGGAACTCTCTGACATCACGCACCTAGACAAGAAAGTCGCTGTCAGCAGCCAGGTTTAGGCGCTTGACCTCATGACTCGTGCCATTGATGCGCGCAGCTGTGCCGGTGCTAATCAAAGGCATCCTCGATGAACCAGGATAACATGTACAATGTGATACTATACAGTTCATATTATTTTTAAATATTGTTAATAGAAGTCGCATTTGATTCTTTGAAATAGAAACTATTTCAATAATTACGCTGAGTTGGATCATCTTTCAGATGCATGCAGCTGTCGGACATTTAGTCAGCGCTCGCTTGAGTCATCTTTCTGAATCGCATAGCTGCTGATTTTGATTAGCCAGCGCTAATGTTATCCCGAATATCTTTGAGATATATGATACAAATAGATTCGTATTTTTTCTCAACTGTTGTATTTTTACACGTGTTCCGTGATATCATCGCAACCGTTCTAAGATTACATTTTTCTGGCGCGCGCTCGAGATATATTATCCCCAATACCTTTGAAAAATATAATATAAATGGACATTAAAATTTTTGTTACTACAGCTGTACATTGACGTTATTAAAAATGAAAGATTTGCATTTTTGTGTTTTATGACTTCACCGTTGACAAAAAGTGGTGGGGAGGATCTGTATTTAAATCAGATCTGGCATAGAAATAATATCTCAGTCGCTCTACATCAGTTATAAGCACAGGCACGATGAATTATTACGCTGCAAATGAAGCATGCAAGAAACAGTGCAATGAGTAAGTATTAATTAATAAATCTTTTATATATTTTATACTTCATTATATTTTTCTATTTAATTTGTTAATTGTATTTTTTCCAGTTTTGATAAACCTCGTCATACGCCTCGTATCCTGGGGCGCAGATTTGCGTTGACTGCGACAGGTTATAAATATTTGGATGTTGGAATCAGCGTGGGACCGGTGTCTCATGTGCAAATCATTCTTGCTGATAATCGAGGAAATCAATTAATATTGCCTCGTGCGACATGGGCAGCGTTCATCGAAAGACGTGAAGCTGTGGAACGATTTTTACCATCGAACATCGCCTCATCGCTGTCGATTCGCGAGTTGGTGATTGAGCGTGTTAAGATGTACGATGAAAACATGATAAAATTAACATTACACAGAAACTACTTGTACATGAAACCTCAAACTTTATTATTTCTATTCGAAATCGAAACTTGTGTAGACCTTGTATATTTTGAATTATGCCAGAATACGCATATTGTAGGTGAAAAATATAAGACCTTCGTAAATACTATAAAATCCAATTGTATTATTGATAGGCGTGATGCAATTAAAATCTTACATAAAGTTTCAGATAAAACTTCGCTTATTGATGGTGAATTATTAGCTTTTGCTATGGATAATATTTTATATGATGCGTTACCATAATGTACATGTTACGATAAATATATATGTTTCGGATCGACTGAGGAAAGCCTCAGGCCGAAACGTATCCCGGAACCGCCTCACGTGAGACGCGAAGTGATAAGTGGAGCTCCGCAAATTTCCGAGACTGGTAGACTTTATGTGTTTTCACTCCGAGAAACCGTCGCCCGGGCGAGAGTCAAAGTTGATGTTGTTAACACCGAACCGTTAGGTCACCGAGTCGAGACCAACCAAGGACGGCAATGGTGCGTCGGGAGATGATCTGGCGATTTCGAATAGGAGGAGACAAAAGATTTGTCTAGGAAAAAGCTTAACTTATAAATTCGAAGTTCACTCAGAGTGGTAATACAGCACTGAAAGAGAAATCTTTATGAGCGTTGTCCAGATTCTCATTCTCGCGAACCTCCCCCTTTTATTAATAGGACAATACATTAGTGAAACATACGTAAGTAATATGGAGATAGGGAATAGATATACGGAGGCGTGAGACCGTCGGACGCCGAACGGATAGGGCAGAAGAACACGCGCGCGGTGAACTCTGCTGCGAACGAGACGCGAGATCGAGACACGCACGATCGGCGAAACTACTGTTGCGACACTCGCCGAATCCGAAAGGCCAGATCGCGGTAGATCTCAATTGATTAATCGAAGAATCTGAAGTTCTAAACTTCTCTGACTGCTAGGATCGCTTCGCAAAACTACAGTGTCAGCTTACACCGCGTTAAAATCGAGATGAGCCGATTATTCTCGTCTCGTGACGAGGGAGAGGGCAATTCGGGGAAACTCGTGCTGGCGTCGGCGACTTGCGGTACGATTCGTAGTATTCGATGTCGGATTTGCCGAATGATGCCCGAACGCGATCGCCGAACAGCTGAGCGGCACGTGACACGCTCCGCTCAAGACGCGAGCTCGCGACCCGCGCTCGCGACGCGCGCGAGCGACGCGTGCGACTCGCCCGATCGCGAACAATATATTTGTTCACAAACATTTTTTATCCATTCTTTATTCCTCTTCGATCTCATAAAAATTAAACCTCAATCGAAGATCAGCGTCTTTTCACCATTGTAACTAGGGAAGGAGGAATAAAGAGAATCTTCGGTTTTAATCATTTTAAATGCTCTTATTTCCCTCATCATCTCCTGTCGACATCAGTTGTCCTTCGAGCTCTACATTTAAGAACTTTGTTCGCAACGACATTGCATGGTTTGCATTTTTTACATGCATGCGATGAGATCTTCGCGGTCATAGCATGCGCCTCCCCTCTCTCCGCAGATCCAGCTAGGGCGAGAGAGAATGACAGCGTCAACCGTAACGGGTAATGATAAGAAAGTCACTGTCAGCAGCCGGGTTTCGGCGTTTGTTCTCATACCATGGAAAATAATACGTGTAGCTGTGGTATCGGTGCAAATCAAAGACATCCTCGGTGATATCTATTACATGCTGATGCAGTAGGTGCGAGTTTAAACGCGGAACTTCCCAGATATCACGCACCAAGACAAGAAAGTCGCTGTCAGCAGCCATGTTTAGGCGCTTGACCTCATGACTCATGCCATGGATGCGCGCAGCTGTGTGTCTGCGCTAATCATTTGTATATCGTCATCCCTCGGTGATATCTATTACATGCATGCGCCGCGGATTGCCAAAGACTTTTGTCAGCAGCCAGGTTTCGGCGCTTGACCCCATGACTCATAACAAGGAAAATACGAATACGCGTCCAGGTGTTCGCGCTAATCAAAGGCATCCCGGTGATATCTATTACATGCACGCACCGCGGATCGCCTCGCGCCGCGGACCTCCCCGCGCCGCGGGTCGCGTAGCGTCGCGGTCCTCCCAGCGCCACCGCGGATCGCGTAGCGTCGCGGTCCTCCCCCTCCCCGCGCGAATCGCCGCAGAATATCCCCTTCCCCGCGCCCCGCGGATCGCCAAGCGTCGTGGAATAATAAACGTGGAACTCCTCGACATCGTTCACCTTGATGAGAAAGTCATCAGCCAGGTTTCGGCGCTTGAACCCATGACTCATACGCGTCCAGGTGTTCGCGCTAAAAATGACAGGTCAGCACCTAGATATCTGTTACATGTCACGTAGTGACAGGTCAGCACCTTGCGTGACGTCAAGGTCGCGTACTCCCCCTCCTCCCCGCGGTCCCCTCGCCACGGAGTACCCCCTCCCAGCTGTCCCCTCGCCACGGGTTACCCCCCCGCCCCGCTCCCCC